GCCTTAGCCATGAAGGAATGACGTTTTAATGCATACTACAACACAGATGAGCCTTCAAACATTATGCCAAGTAAAAGAAGACACAAAAGGCCACACATTGTATGACTGCATATACATGAAATGTCCAGAACAGGCAAATTTATAGAGACAGAGGTAGATTTAATAGTTAAGACTATGAAAAGACGGGATGGAAGAGGACAATTTTCTTTCTGGAGTGAGGAAAATGTTCTGGAATTAGTAGTGATTTGATAGTTGCATGGCTTTATGAATATACTAAAACCCACTGAATTACACAATTTTTAAAGGTAAAATCTTAGTAATAAACTATATCTCAATAAAGCTGGAATTCTTTTAAAAAGCACATCTACTATACTTTAGTGCAAGAAGGAAAACTGAAAAATATGTATGTACCACATGCATACATATATATGTACATATGTGTGTCTGTATGTGTATACTTTTGTCTTTACAGAAAAAATGATAAATCAGAAAATAATGAGGTTGGTACACTCGAGGGGTGGGGATAAGGAAGGAGTAACACATTTTAGTGTAATTTTTGACTTTGAAAAGCATGCTAATGTTCCCTTTCAAAAAATTAAATCAGTAAAATAAGGAAAATAAACTGAAAAGTAAAGAGGGAACCTATGTATTTCAACTAAATGCCATAACCACACTAAACGGCAAAAATGGAGCTGGCCATAAAGAAATTCTGACCCACCCTTGTCCTTAAGTCTTCAGGCCCTCCTTATTCCAGAGGGGCCTTGCCTCATGTCCTAGAGGGGAGGAATGCTGCCTGAGGGGCCATAAACAATGCTGAAGCAGACAGGCACTCATTCTGTAATCCTAGCTACTCAGAAGGCAGAGATCTGAAGGATCGCAGTTTGAGCCCAGCCATTGGCAAATAGTTTGGAGACCCCCATCTCAAAAAAATAATCACAATAAAGGGCTGCTAGAGGCTTACGCTTGTAATCTTAGCTACTCGGGAGGCAGAGAGCAGGAGGATCACCGTTCAAAGCCAGCCCAGGCAAATAGTTTGAGACCCTATCTCAAAAAAAATCCATCACAAAAAAGGGCTGGCAGAGTGGCTCAAAAAAAAAAAAAAAAAAAAAAAACCCACCATGCTGAAAAGACAGGCCTGGCTGGGTTTCTCCACCAGTAAATTAGCATTAGACTGTATTCACTGCCCAGTCACTTTTTGTCACAGTTGTCCCTGCTTCAATCATGTCTATGCAATGAAGTCTCCATAAAACCCAAAAGAACAGAACAAGAGTTTGGAAAAATTCCAGAGGGCCAAAAAGGTGGGAGTTCCTGGAGGGTGGCATGCCCAGAGAGACCTTGAAGGCCCTGAGCTCCTTCCCCCAAATTTGTCTTCTGCAAGAGCCAAGTAACAGGACATTTGAACAATAAGCACTAGATGGTGGTTTTAAATGTCATTCACTGCACACAAAAAGAACAAGGGCACCTTGGAGAAATGGTTGGTTCCAGCACTGAAGTACTGTAGGTTCAGAACCTAATGCCAGGAAGCTGATGAGGATGTCACAAGGACACAGGAGTCAGTCTAAAGGGGCTCCTACTGACAAATCTGAAACAACTGGTTCACCAAAACACAGAAAGAAAAACCTCACTGAAAAAAACAGGACTTAATGTATGAGGCCCTGGGTTTGATCCTCAGCACCACAATATATGAGTCCATACCAATAGTAAATGGGAAGAAAGAGAGGATACATGAGTATAGTTTAGTTTAGGTCCTAATGACAAAGTTAGAGGAAAAGCTTGAGTTGGAAAATCATCATTTTTGTACTAACATAGTAAAGACTGGATCAGGCAAGAATCGCCAATGAAGGGCCCTAGGGCACGGCTCAAGTGATAAAATGCTTTCCTGACAAGCACAAGGCCTTAGCTCAAAACCCAGCACCACCAAGAAAAAGTGACTTTAGAGGGGAGAAACTCAGGAAGACATTGGCCAAGTGATCAAAATTAACAATACTGGGTTGAGGGTGTAGCTCTGTGGTACAGCACTTTCCTAGCATGCACGAAGCCTTGGGTTCAAGCCCCAGTGATAGGTAGCAGGGAGAAATAAGCTGTGGCCACAAGAAGAAGAAAATTATTATAATTAAATTTTTCAACTCCATAGGTGACCAGTCTCTGTTAAGATCAAAGTAGCCCATCAAGGCCAACAGATACCACAGAACGCTTTGAAGTCTGTCACTCACCTAAAGCTTAATTCTTTCTTTAATCAAGAGTTAGCCTCACTCTAAACATCAGCTAGGTCTAGCTAGGACTGGGAGTTTCACACAGGTGATCTCTTTAACCTAACAAGGCAAAGACCCAGGGCCAAGAGCTGCACCCTAGCCAGCAGATAAACCAGGGGCTGAGAGTTTTACACAGATTGATCAAGGACTGAGAATTTCACACAGATAGGTAAATTTAATAAGATAAAGACCCAAGCCCAGGAGCCCATCCTTGGGATCAGACTTGGGGCTGAGAATTTCTTAATAATCTTTCAGCTCCAAATGCTGTCTTTTCACTCTACCCACTTTCTGCTACTGAAAGGGTACTTCTTTCCTAATAAACGCTGCTATCATTTTCAGCATATTTTCACATCTTGCCTGAAATCTCTTCGGACAAAAGAACCAAGGTATACACCACTATAAAATTTCCAGTAACACTACCTTCACCAAAAACAATGAAGGCCTCTCTAGTCTGGAAAAATAAACCTTGAGTAAGAATTTTGTTGAAGTGTACAAATAATACCGCACACAAAAAGAATATAAACTCATCAATCCTTGGAATTTTAAGCCTATGAATGATCCCCGGAAGCTAGAAAGTGATCAGATTTATAAACTAAAACAGTATTATTTACAGAACAGATAATAAGTTTAAGATGTAAAAACGGTTCAAGTTAGACGAATGCACTGATCCATATTCTAATCTTGCTATACAGGTTGAATAGCCATATCTAAAGTACTTGGGACCAGAAATCTTTCAGACTTAGGACTATTTGGATTTTTGAACTGTTTACATAGATTTACCATTTGAGCATCCCTAATCTGAAAGCCTGAAATTAAAAATGTTCCAAAGATTTCGAATTCTTGAATAAAGGATGCTCAACCTATATTTATACTCTAGAGGCTAACCCTATCTTACCAAAAATACCTTCAAAACTATCTTGAGAAATGGATTAGTGAGCTGAATGGACCAAATTAGGTAGAACCATACATAACAATTTTTATTCATTTAACACTTCTCATTAACTGCTACTTTTCCTAAATCATCAAAATTTTGGTTCAGTTTATGTTTTTTTTCTGTAGGAAACCTACAGGCAAGGTAAAGATTAGACCAAACCACTGCAAAATTAACTAAAAAATGGCACTGATGCCAGAGTTCGCATGGCATCTCTCAGAGTACTATCTTAACTCATTTCTCCTCCTCTCTAGCCCAGAAGTCCTGAGATAACCTGGGGCCCATAGCCCAGCTTCAGATGGTATGGTGCACGTGAAATAAGGTGTACAAGTACATGGTACATTTTTCCAGGGAAAGAGTCCACTGATTCCAAATTCTTTAAAGAAATTCAAAAAAAGCTGAAGAATCACTTCGCCACAAACTCTCCTGTCTATCATTCCCTGAACTGCCTTTTTCTTGGTAACTCCCAAATCTTCATCTCGGATTTCTATTCACCAAACTTGAATAGCCAAGTGTCTGTTGTACATGGTTTTCCTGCACCTCCAACTTAACGTAAGACTTTATGGTCTTCCCACTCCTATCCCTCTCCCTCTTGTGCCTCCCCTTGGGACCAGTATCTCCATCCACTGCATTTCCCAAAAGAGGAAAGAGGTTGAGTGTTCATGACTTCATCTTCCCGTCACAAAACCCTAACAATTCCACTTACTATCCCTTAAGCACTACCACTTCTCTCCACTCCCTCAGCCCATTAAGCTAGTCAGTCATGGCTTACCTGGACTGTGTCACTTTTCTCCTAAATGTTTTCCTATCTCCAGTGTGGGTCCCCTGCACGCCACTCTCCAGGCTTGTCAGTGGTTTTCCTTGAACACATATCTGACAGGAGAAGTGTGGGCAGACCAAACCCTGTTCTTACTTCAAACTCTGTGTTCCAGATACAGTGAACTATTCGAAGTACCAAAGGACTTTGGTACATCATGCTCTGGTCTTTAAGCCTTTGAATAAGCAAAGGCCTAAAACAAACTACTAAACCACCAAAGCTAACTCCCAAGCACCTTGAGGTCTCAATTTAAATATCATCATTCTAATAAAGGCCTTTCCTAATCCTGCCTCTCTTACTCATCACTCCCACAGAGACTTAAATATCTATGTGTTCCCATACAGCATCTTCTGCTTATCATCACCATGGCAAACACTCAAGTGAAGTGAGCATTTTCAATATCGATCTCCATATTAAAGTTTAAGTACCTTGAAAAGAGGGACATCTATATCACTAGTACTTTTAAACATTCAAACTTTTTTTCTTAGCTGTACTGGAGTTTGAACTCAGGGCCGAGCACTTCCTAAGTAGGTGCCCTACCACATGAGCCATGCCTTCAGCCCTTTTTGCTTTAGTTATTTTTTAGGTAGGCTCTTGCATTTTTAAAGCCCAGATCCAGCCTCAGATCTCCTATCTATTACCTCCCTGTTTAGCTGGATGACAGACCCCCGCCACCATGCCCGGCTTGGTTCAGATGGAGATCTTGCTAAATTTTTGTTGGGGCTGGCCTCAAACTTCAGTCCTCCCAGTCTCAACCTCCTGAGTAAGTGAGCCACCATTCCTGACTACATTCAAACATTTTTGAATGTTTAAATTAATAAAATGCTCTTTGCATTTTCTAGGCACTTAAAACATGTCCAATGAAGGAATGCCCCAATCTGAAAACAGTATATGAAGACATACCAAGAAATTAATTTTTCAACATCTAGCAACTTTTTTTTAAAGCTACATTTCTTTTTGACAGTTAAAATATATCAATTTGCAAATTAGCAAATATGACCAACTCAAATACCTGCTGAAAAGATGTCCATTGCTCTCTTCAACTCTCCTCTTGTTCTCTGATTGCTATTCAAGTCTACGAGTGGAGTTGAAACATCTCTCATATATTCCAACTCTGTGGCAAACATACCACCATCAACAAAACGCTCAGGAGCAATGTAGCAAGTCCTCCTCCGTGATGTGTCAAAGAAATAGTTGAAATCTGCTGGGTTGTCCTCTGGAAGATAAGTGGGTTTAAAACTGGCAAAATCAGTTAGAAGAACCCAGTTCCAACTGGTAACCATCACATTCTCAGTCTTGATGTCCCCATGGCGGACTCCAGATTTGTGGGCTTGGTCCACAGCTGTCAGGATCTGGAATGCGATCCAGCGCTTCTCAATGTTGTTCAAGAACGGCCGGGTACTGATGCGATCATACAGATTGTCTCGCACATACTGCCTGAACAGCATGGCTGCTTTCTCAGACGCTTTCTCTGCAGCTTTCTGGAACGGTAAGCAGTTCTGTGCAGAGTGAAGCCTGATTTTGAGTTCCTCCAGCTCTTGTTTGTAGCTGGTTAATGGCAATGTGGGGTCCTGAATCGCAAACACTTTCACAACCACCAGGCCTTCTCGGTGCTTTGCTCGAGCAACTTTAAAAAAGCGAGTGCTTCCCAGGCTCTTATCATATTCAAAGTCATGGATGTCTGAGAAATAACTCTCCACAGAGAGGATCTGGGAAGGAGCAATGCCAGCGAGTTGATTTCCCATAATGGCAAGTGCCTCTGGGTCAGCAAATTAGGATACAACACCTATTTAAAAGAAAGAAAAAAGAGAGAATTAAAATGTAGAATTAAATGAAGACACAATGGAAACACCACTACTCCGTCTCTTCCAAAATGGTGTACCATATTTCTCTTCTACTGAGAGCATAGTGCCTAGCTTTCTGAGCAGTGTCTAAATTTCAGACATACCTAAACAGACCTTACTGTTTTACCTAAAAGGATGGTGTTATGTAATGTCATCCTTTCCAGGAAATGAACTATCTAGGGACCTAAATAGGTCCCTTCAACATTAAGCTGAAAGTGTTAGAATCTGTATTCAGGGACATGAAGATTTAAAATATTAACGAGTTTTTACTATATATTCAGTAGTGTAGTTGGGACTAAGTCATAAAAATACTATATGAGAAGAGACAGTCCTTGTGCAGGAAAAATTCCTAGTTTTCTTGGAAGAAAACACATTTAAAAAAAAAAACTTAAAACTAAGAATCACCTGATACAAACAGGTCACTTAATTCCTGACAGGGTCGGGCTAAGATCCACAAAATCAGTATCACCTGAGGCCTCCCAGCTTCATCCCAATTTGTGTGCCCCCCCAATCTAAACCCAGGTGCAAAACTCCTTAGGTTGCAACCACAAACACCTGCCAGAGAAGTTAAAGCAAGCCAGCATCCACACTTGTCCAAGGTTATCTTGAGTCAGGTTTTGCAGGAAATGTGTCCCCGGCTTTACACATCCATAAACACTTACCTGGGCCTCTGGGAAGTGTCAAAACCCACCGAGAGCTCACAGTGAGTGGCAGGACACCAACGGCGGAGAAAGTTCTCTGAGAGGTCTCCTTCCAAGGCAGGAGGTAGGAAACTGCGGACGGAAGGCAGAAAATGCCCCAATCTCCAGGAACCAGGGTGTCGGCGGCGGAAAGACGGAGCCCCGCTGAAGGACTCTACAGACACCCACGTAGTTGCCCCCGCCAGCCGCGCGCCCCGCCAGCCCCGCGACCGCGCGCTTCGGGGTCGCGGCACCCCTCGGAGCCCCTCTCCGTGGGCCTCACCACCCGGCGCGGAGATGCAAGGCGGGACGAAGCCCAGCGCTCCAGTTCCAGGCAAACTCTACTTTACCGGCAGCAAACGCCGAACTCCCGGGAAAGGTGCAAGTCTGACCTCACTTCCGGTCGCGGAGCGGAAGTGAAGGAGGACGATTTAAAGAAGAGCGCAGGGAAGAAGCTGGTTGCTAGGAAACGGGGGAAGGGCGTGGCCTGGCTTAGGAAGACTGGAGAAGTAAAAGCCTTATTCCCAAAGTCTGACATCCCTCAGAATCTGCTGACGCCCTTTCATCCCCAGCACACAGACATACTTTTTAAGAAAACTCAGTCATATTTAGGAAAGTTATTAGTATCCCAAGCTGGGTTTCTAATGAGCTTTATTGAGATATAATTTAAGTACCATCAAATATATTTATGGGGTTGTAATCTCATTCCTATAAATCTAATTTTAGAACTTTTTCATTACATCAGAATGAAACCCTGAAACAGCCTCTCCTCGTCCCAGCCTTAGGCAGTCACTAATTTACTTTGCTTACCTAGATTTGCCTATTGCAGACATTTCATAGTATACAACATGGAGTCTTTATGACTGGCTTCTTTCAATTTGCCCAGTGTTGTTCAGGGTTATCCCTGTTGCGGGTACGGTGCCCCGCTGAAGGACTCCCCAGACGCCCACGTGGTTGCCCCGCCAGTCCCAGGTACTTTTATTGGCAAAGACTCATTGCATGAGTATAGCACACTTTGCTCATCTGATCCCTCTTTGTTATTGTGAATGATGGTGTGAGGAACATCATGTGTGTGTTCATTACTCTTGGGCAGAAGGAGTGAAATTCTGGCTCGTGGTGACCCTGTGTTTAACATTTTGAGAAACTAAAGTGAATGCACTGTTACGTAGTCCCACCTGCCATGTCTAAGGACTCCAATTTCTCTGTGTCCTTGCTGACACTTACTATTATCGATCTTTTATTACAGCTATCCTAAGGAGTGCAAGTGCCATCTCACTGTGTTTTGCTTGCATTTCCCAAGTGACAGTAATGTAATCTTTTCATATACATGCTGGCCATTCATATGTCTCCTTTAGAGAAATGTCTGTTAAAATCCTATTTTTCTTTGGCAGTACTGAGGTTTGAGCTCAGGCCTCACACTTGCTAAGCAGGCACTCTACCACTTGGACCACTCTGCCAGCCCTTTTTGTGCTGTTATTTTCAAGAAACGGTCTCATAACTATGCCCAGGACTGGCTTCTCATAAATCCTTCTGATCTCTGCCTCTTGAGTAGCTAGAATTACAGGTAGGAACCACAGCTCCCAGCAAAAATCCTGTCTATTTTTAATTGGAGTTTATTCATCATTTTTTTTGACATAGGAACTTACTATGTAGCTCAGGTTGGACTCAAACTATCCTCCTGCCTTGGCCTCCTGATGCTCAGTTTGCAGTCATTATCCACAACACCTGACTATTCATATTTTAATTATTGAGTTGCAAAAGTTTCATTATATATATATTCAAAATACAAAAAAAAATCAAAGATATATTTGCAAATATTTTTGTGTGGTCATTTCAATTTATAATGTTTTTTGAAACACAAATTAATCAAAAAATGACTTTTTTTTTTTTTTTGCCACACTGGGGTTTGAACTCAGGGCCTATATTTGACCCACTCCACCAGCCCTTTTTGTAATTTTTTTTTTTTTTTTTAATCGGGTCTCGCAAACCAGATTGGCTTTGAACCTCTATCCTCCTGATCTCTGCCTCCTGAATAGCTCAGATTACAGTTGTGAGCCACCAGTGCCCAGCTAGGCAGCAACTTTTACCATTTGAGCCACTCCTTCAGCCCTTTTTTGTGAAGGGTTTTTTTTCAAGATAGGGTCTTGTGGAACTATTTACCTGGGCTGGCTTTGAACCTCAATACTCTTGATCTCTAACTCCTGAATAGATAGGAATACAGGCATGAGCCCACCGGTGCTTGCCAGAATTAAGTTTTTTAACATCCCCTCCTTCCTACCCTATTTCTAGGAGCATTCTACCCACTGGATTCCCAAATTAAATCTAGAATAATAAAATTTGGAAGTCATTAAATCATTCTTATACTTTCTTCTTCTCTCTCCTTCAACACCCCCCCCATTCCTTCCATTCATGGCACCTGCACCTACTAAATCTGAGGCAGGCTAGCACATCGAAAAGATCCGTGAGACCCTCTCAGACCCCATCTCCTTATCTAAGCCCAATGCTGTCCTTTGCTGTGGTAATTGTAAATGGCAAAAAGCCTTGGGTGATTCCATCTTCCATTATCACTCAGATCAAAACACAAATATCATCACACCCTAGCCTGACCCACCACCCTAGCCCTGGGACCACCTAAACCCTCCCCATTCTCTGATTACTGGTGATTAAATCTGCCCTAGTTTTTCCCCTCCCACAGGTTAGCACATTTTGTTTTTGTTTTTGTTTTTTAATCATTCTGCTAACTTTATTCTTGATACATAGTTTGGGTAAAGTAAGAACCAAACAAGGTTTCCTCTTCCCTCTCCCCACTCTCACTTCACTTTAGGGACATTCAAAAATTACTTTAAGGATTCCCAAGATTGCAGAAATTCCATAGCATAGAGCACAGCTGTGCTTTGCGTTCTGAAAGAAAAAAAAGACCCTCTAAGAGTCAAGCTTAGGAGAAAAGTGATGAGGGTGGAAGGGGCCCAGTTCAGCCTCACACCAGCCTCGGTAGGGTTCCTGGCTTGCACCTTGAAGCAGCTTATAAACCACATCCAGCTATAACCACAAGGCAGAGAAATTGAAAGTTGGTCACCACACATCAGGTCTTTGCTTCCAGAACCTTCCCTCTGAATTGCTGTACCCTAAAACTAAGGCTGCTGTGACTTAGGTTAGATTTTTAAAATTTACTCAGCATACCTCTTAAAAACTCGGCAGAAATATTTAAATGACTAACAACAACTTCACAAATAGGCATGCAAATATTTGAATAATGTCACTAAGTAACATGGTATTATAAATATGTATTCATAGTAACATTTACATATTGATCATAATGGCAAGCATGCCATTAACAACAACAATAAAAAAAAAATGAAGAAATTTTACCTGTTCATTTCAGAATCCAAGGCAAGGCAAGGAGGCACACCTAGGCCTGTGGACTGACTCCTGACCCACGAGATTATGCCTTGTCACAGAAGGAATCTGCAGTGACACTTTCTAGACCATGGAGCTGGTGGCAAGCCCAAAATGTGTATCTTTAGCAAGTCCTACGATGATGCTACCACTTGGGGCCACACTTTGAAAGCCACTGGAGTGCCTGGGCTGCCTCCATGAAGACATCACTTCTGGTCCTAAGGCCCCTTCCTAACCTGCTCTGCCCTAGCTTACCTGAACGTCAACAGTGGGCCAGGTGATTTGCCTACTATTTGAATGGACAGTGTAGAAACAGTGGTAGAATACTCATTCTGGGTTTAAAACACATGCATGAAAGAAAGTAAAAAGAATGGCCATCCCAGCTTGGTGCCATTCATAATCTCTATTTTCAACATTTTACTACTATCTCCAAAAACCCTGGGGAGGGGGTGGTCAAATGCACTGGGAATTCAGTTTTCAGTCAATGAATGTCCATTCCCTAATTCCTGTTGGCCAAACAAATAGGAACACAAAACCAGAACCTTGGGGAGCCTTGGGCCAGGGGCAGCAAGTCCCATCACTTCCCAGCTGAGGCAGGCAGTGGCAAGAGTTGCCCAGCATCCAGTTTTTAAATGCCTTGAAACAGAGAGCGCTTTCTCTCTGCTACAGCTCCCACCTGGCCCATCACGGCCTTTGTAACACCCTTCCCTAAGCTTTAATAAATTTTCATTATCACCCTTACTACTTCTATATATCCTATGTGGATGCATTGTATAATATGTAAGAATCTAGAACGTTCTGTTTACCAGTGACTATAACAAGTCCACCTCCAAAATCAGCCTTGAACCCATTCCCTGCCATCTCTCCAACTCTCCAGGGCCTGGGCCAAACAACCATCATTATCACGATGTCTAGATTTTGAACCTTACACAGAAAGCTGTCCCTACTACAATATTTTTATATTTCTCTCAGAAGTTATTCTGGGTCTATTATAGTTTCATTTTCTGTCCTTAAATTTCTGAAGACTATATCCAAATATATTTTTGGATAGAATATCTACAAGGATATTTGTAGACTATATCTACAAAGAAAATCAGTTATCAAAAAAATTATTAACAAGTATCCATCTCTCCTATTTGAATTATAACCTAAAATGTCATATTTAATCCAAATGTGGTAGTGCGTGTCTACAACCCCAGCACTACGGAAGTTGAGCTAGGAGAATCATGAGTTCAAAGTCAACCTGGGCTATATAGCAATACCTTGCCTTAAATAAATAAATAAATGAAGCATCATATTTACCATGTATATATTTCCTATGTACGTCTGGGTCTTATGGACTTTCTCTTCTGTCTGTTGAATTGCTATTTAATTCATCCATCAGTATCATTTTAATAATTATATAATGTTTTAATATCTGACAGGGTTAACCCTAACCTGCCAAGCGTCTTCCAATCACATTTACTCTTTCTTCTGCTTACACCGCTCTACCGCTTCTCTTCAGCCATGTCTTCTAAGACCCACATCAAATGCCAACACCCCAGAAAGATCCCCCTTATGGTCCCTCATTACTTATTCTCACAGACCCTACACTTTCTGTTCACAGCACTTATATTGTCATTAAAATCATTTGGATTGTGGAGCTAACAATTTTCTTAAAGTCTCTTTTCCCTCCAGACCATAAATCCATGAGTGC